CAGAGAATGGATTTCAGTTTTTAAGCAATTAATAAACTGTAGGAACACAAATTTGCAATAAAACCTTTTGGTGCTAAATGAAATTCCCGAACAAATTTCTTGATCTAATTCAAGAGCAGATCTAAAAAAAAAATAGAAACCGATTAGAGATCTAAAGCACTGCCCCAGTAATGCAAAAAAAAAAACCAACCAAGAACTAGACAGAATTTGTTTTTCTTGTCTCAGTAAAAAACACTACATCTTACTGCTACTTTTATAGAATGCACTAAAAACCCCTGTGCCTACATGACTAAAGTGTAGTCTCGAACTGTATAATACACTTACAAACATTTTAAGTTTAGATTGAGGAAAACACGTTGTATGGACTCCAAACAAGTTTATTTGCAATTAGACACCTCATGCAATCATGCAGGACCACTAGCTAAAGCTGCAACTTTCGAGTCTAAAGGACATTTGGGGACAAAAAAAGTCCTAAACATTCAAGATATTTCCACATTAGCAGCTCCATACTTGAGCTGTGGTTTTCTAAAGAGATATTCCCACAGATTAAAAAAAACATACACACCTTTATAATATTTACAAAAAAATATTTAATTAAAAATATTTTATAATTACAGTAGTCTATTAAAGCATATACTTTTCTCACACTTATAGAACATCTCTATATATACACAGTATGAAATGTCACTCATTTGTCTATACAATATGTAACATTCCTGCAGGGAGAAGAAAGTTCCCTGGGCCCCAATAAAATCCATCTATTTTAAACAATAGATGTCAAATATATCTACAAATGCTCTGGTAGATTAGTAAAGCTTCAAGATTCGACTGCTCGGTCCCTTAAGAGTTACAAGGTTTCTAAAGTCTGGTTAGGCTCTGTCCTCTATCCCGGGGCAGAGTCGCAACTTTTCCCGCTGCCACCGTGGGACACGCCGCCGCTCACAGCTGGCCGGGAACGACGAGAAGAAACGGAGCCAGGGGGGGAAAGGACACGGGGAGCTGGGGAGGGGCG